GGGTGCTGAAATGACCTGTCGACAACCCCCGTTGGAGCCCTCTAACCCCGTTGATTCGGAAACGACGATCCACGATCTGGCTTAAAAGGGCTAAACGACCCAGACACATAACTGGGTAGGTGGACTCCACTGACGTATAGACCCTAGGGTCAGCACATCGAAGTGAAAGTCCTTATAATTAAATAAATTAAAAATTAATTATAATTGTTATATAATCATTATATAATTTATGTATATATATAAAATATTATTATTTTCCTTTGCACCCCTCACCCGAACACCCCAACTGGCCAGCAATTTCTTCGTATATTTTACTTTTTATAAGCCTCTCTTTATGACACGATCCTATAAAGGTATATTCGTTTCGTATAACTCAACTAGTTTTCCATTCTGTTCTTAAACTTGAAGGAAAATTAAAAAAACCATCATGTTAACTATACGATTGATTCATGATTGAATAGGCTGACTGTAATTGGTTTGAATTTTAACTTTTTAACCAAAATAGTTTTTTTTTGTTTTTTTTTTTGTGATGGGTCAGTTTTGTATGTTATCTTAAAAGAGAAAAAAAGAAGATGGAATGATTGATTCATGAGTGATGTTCGTGATAAGTTCTAAGGCCGCCTGTTTATGATTGGTTGATTTTTCAACTTAGGTTAATTTCATGAATTCTTAAAATATTTCTTCGCGATGTTGCGTCTGGTTTTGAAATATTAAAAATGTGAAATAAATATCATACCTAACTAAGAGATTGATCCGCTTGAGATCAGATTGATCGCTGTATGTGATTTTGTTTACTATAGCCAGTTATTGATGGTATTTTATTTTAGTTGTTAACTGTACGGCAAGATTTTTTTTCTTTTTCGTAGAAGCGGACGTTTATACTGATATCGCCTACATCCACAAAATGCGTCATTTGATGATATTGTCATAGTGATAAAATTTCTTAAAGGCTTAAATAACGTTTACTTCACCCGAGCAACAAACGATATAAATTTATTTTGCCATTTCACGTAGAACCTGCATTACCAGGTAGGGCAAGCCCAGGTTGCAGGACGTGCATCCCGTTATAGTCATAACATTTTAAGGTCAAGCGGGCACAATCCAGTAAAAAGTTTGAAATGTAGTCAACCACTAGAGATCGTGGATTCGAATCCCAACCGTGACATTGACTTTTCTATCTAAAAAATGAGTAAATAGTGTGAACAGGCTATCTCATAAACTTATTCAATTGAGAATACAAATATTTTTAGTAGAAATATTTATATTCTTTTAAGAGTTCGAAATACCTCTGAATCCTCACAAAAAGGATGAAAGTACAATACAAGCATAATGCCTGCTAATTACAAACAGGGGCCCTCATAACTTGTCAATTTAAATCACCCATTTTGTTAATTTTTTACTTTATTTTATGATTACATTGCGGGACTAATATCTCAAAAGACAAATCGATGGAATGTACGATATGTTTAAATCCAACTACTCACAAATAGCTTCAAAACTTTTTTGCTTTTTTTCTATCCAAGAATTCCTGTAATGTCACCAACAGGATGGCAGCAATTCAAAATACTAACCAATAACAAACAGGCGCTTTCATAACTTTTCTTTTAAACTAGAAGATTGATTCGTGACAGTTTGAAAATCTCACAAAAATATAAAAGTACAACATAATTTGAAATAGCAACTAATCAAAAACAAAGATTCCCAAAATTGATTGAACTGGTATTATTCTTTTCGTCAAAATGTTAAACGCATTTTTATATTCTTTTGTTTTAGGAGATCAAATTGATTCTAAAATATTACAAAAATGGTGAAATCGTAGTATTATTTGCAATGTCAATCGTGAATCAATATTCTAGTTGAAATATCAATTGAATTTTCTTTACTGTTAAAAATCCGGGGGAAGATTGTAAAATCTCACAAATAGACGTATTTATAACATAATTTGAAATATCACCCAATCACAAACAGGGACCCTCAGAACTGGTCGATTAATCACCCATTTGGCTAATTGTTACTTTCTTTTATGATTAAATTGCGGGACTAATGTCTCAAAAGAAAAAGAAATCGATGGAATGGACTATCTATTTAAATCCAACTACAACATTATTGAAATACCAACCAATCAAAATCAAACATTCCCAAGATTATTCAGAAATCGTGAGATGCGGTCTGGTGTAATGTAGGTTTCAGAAAAGCATTTTCTTTATCATGCCAACGTTTCGGTCTTTATTGAGATCATCTTCAGGGCCTGGAATTTACAAACATTGTTTAAATTTAACAAATACATGTAGGATGTGGAAAAAAAAGTGAATTTATACAATGCAAAAAAAAAATTGTTTATATTCAATCAAAGTATTTCTACTCACTCAAAGTGTTTTTTTCTGCGTAATTGTGCCATTCTTGTGTGCCGTGTTGAGAGTGCCGGTGATATTGCTGTTTTATGTTTATAATCACATTGAATATAATTTTTTTTGGGGCATTGTATAAATTCACTTTTTTTCCACATCCTACATGCATTTGTTAAATTTAAACAATGTTTGTGGGGGCGTCGGTGGCCGCAAGTTTAGGCGTTGACACGGCGCTCATCACTGTAAGGTAAAGGTCCCGGGTTCGATCCCGCGACCCTGCATTCGAACTCGACAATCTTACATATGGGCTTTTTTTCAAAAACACCGGCACCCCTAGGGTTGATATAACCTCTGCTGTTAAGAACCCTCAGGAAAAAAAACAATGTAAATCCCAGGCCCTGAAGATGATCTCAATAAAGACCGAAACGTTGGCAAGATAAAGAGAATGTTTTTCTAAAACCTGTCACACCAGACCGCATCTCGTGATCTCCAACTAACGGTCAGTAATCACCACTCAGTTCTACTAGAAATGTTCGCAAAGATTCATTTTCGGTTAAAAGTCCGAAATGCTCATAGAACCTCACAAATTAGGAAGGAATTACGGAAAGAATTTGAACAATCAACCAATTACAAACAGGTCATCTCCGTCAATTGTTTTGGCCGAAACTCAGTAATTTCGTCAGTGTTTTAATTACTGCTAATCGTCCAAAACATCTATATAATCTCACAAATAGATTGAAATTACAAGATAATTTGAAATACCGACCAATCACAAACAGGGAACACGGAACCGACCTTGAATCGACGCAAAATTGACGACTCCGCGAACCATTTCCGATTTTGAAAACTTGACAACAGAAGAATAAATAAAGAATATGTTGTTTATTATTATATATTTATTTATAACATGAATCCTAAAAAGGTTCTTCCTCCTGACCTTAAGAGAAAAACACGTTTCTAAGATTATGCGCGTTGGGTATAAGCAAAACAATCAAAGCTGTCGTTTTCCCAAAGAGGAAAAACTTGGAACTATTTTGCGGAAAATTTATTTTATTTTTAATTCTAAAATTTTTTTTTTTAGAATATGTGCTTATCGCTAGACCCGATTCAATATAATCAATTCAGGCCGACTTTTTGAAAATTTATAGTTCATGAAATATTTAGCAATTTCATTTTATTATTTTTTTTTAGGGGAAATTATGCAATCTAGGAATAAGTAGCGTGCAGAAAACCCAGCAATCTTCCTCGTAAACTTTGCCATTTTGAACTACCAATCGGCATCAGATAGTAGGTCACTTGTCGAAAAGCTTTCAAAACTACGAAGGTGTGCCAACTTCGGACTTATTTCTTTCAAAACTATCATTTATCGTTTCATGTAATTGTTTTTTGAATAATTTAACCGGTAGGGCTAAATTGAAATAACTCCGTCCCCGAGGCCGTCTTCACTAAAGCAATTTTCCAGTTTATTTTTGTACAGGATGTCTGTACACAACGCGCCCATTATCTTGAAGGGAAAGTTCTATTGTTCAAAGCTTCTTCCTACCTTCGCTTATAAAATTATAAATTTAAATGTAATACTTTTTTTTTTAAATTGTATAGTTTACAAAAACGATTGTGTATATTGTGGGTTTTTACCTTTAATAGGATGTAATGTTCCGTAATTATAACTTTAAGAAGTGATTTAGGATGGAAAATTGACAACTTTTATGAATAATGTAAGAAAGATGATTAATTTTTTGTTAACATTTGTCTCTTTGTTAAAAAATGTACAATACGACCAGCCAATAATTAGTCAGACAGTCATCGGATGTGGCAATGTGGTGCCACGAAAAACCGCAGACAGACTAAAAACTGATGAATTCCTTTACTTACAGACAGTCGAACGGTGTTCAGAGGACGACGTAGAACCGACTGGTTATGTGATTTTCGCTGAGGGCATCAGAACGGGTGCGTCATCAATGACTGGCCGACCCCTTTCTGTAGGTCCCCTCCTTCTGTAAGTGGGAAATCCGTGCTCGGACGCATTCTGTTTACCGTACTACGAACTTTTGCGACCCTCTTTTAAAGGGAATTCCAAGAAACCAATTTAAGACAAAGGAAAAATTAACTTTTTTTAAAACATGTTTTGTTCTAATGAGTAGATTTGTTGTCAAAGCCCTTTTCAAATTTACCAGCGCCTACAAGCCAATCTGAAGACTTTAAAACATGGCCGTTCAATTTTAAAAATGAAGTTTCCTTAATAGCAAACAGATTACTTTTACCAGAAAAATTAATTTCGAAACTTCCCTCTAATTTGTTTTATAATTTTCGAGCCTAGTCATAAATTTAAAGTAAAACCAACTAAATTTTTATATTAACCCATAGATTTTTATGTGGTGTTTAGTGACTTCAAAACAATTCTCCAACACCCCCGAAACTATACGGATATATCAAAACAAACCTGAACATCCTCTAAGACAAATAATTCCATTTGTAAATTCCCCTACATACAACATGACAACATACCTAACCAATATACTCAACAACATCACAGATAACACATGTTGCCGTGGAAGGAAAAAAATAATTTAAAAAAAATTAAACATTAATAAAATAAATTTAAGATAATTCTAAATTAAAATAAATGACGGGAGAGATTCATAAGGGACTTACCACCTTCCTTCAGATGACGGCTGCAAGAAGCGTAGGGACCTCGGCCCGATTCCCCTGACTTCGCCACAGAATATCCGATGATTTCAGGTGAAAGAGATCGATGTAGAATTACAGAGGGTTTTTTGTGGTCACTTGATTAAAGGCTTTTTTTTATTAATACGGGAGAAAAAAGCATGAGAAAAGAGAGGACCTTTCTATCGTAGGAGTAGAACAGGACCGGGTTTGTAAGGAGTGTAGGAGAAGGATTAGGGATTACACTAATTCAAAACAAAGTATATTTAAAAAATAAGATAGCTGGCGCAACAACACATAAAAGATTCATTTCATTTCATTAACAAAATTAATAATATTCACATCCCCTCACACTACTCTCTCATATCCCTTGATGTTTCATCATTATTCACCAACATTAAAATAGACCCAACACTGAACATTACTAAAGATAAATGGCCCAACATAACACCACACACGTCTATCAAAAAACATGTTCGTATTATTCGACACTGCTGTATTAACGGATATTTTACATATGACAATCAATTTTACAAACAACTATCTGGCGTAGCCATGGGTAGCAACCTAGGCCCGATACTTACAGACATAATTATGGCACATCTATTAAATAAAGTTATACCACAACTTCCTTTCACATTACCCTTCCTCACTAAACACGTAGATGATATATTAACAGCAGTTCCTACAGATCAAATTCAATTTCTACATTAGATACATTTAAAAACTTTCACCCATGCCTACAATTTACACATGAAATCGAAAACCACGAAACAATGCCATTTTTAGATACACTCATAATAAAACAACCAGACACAGATTGGTATCAAAAACCAAGCAACACAGATCACTACCTCAACTTCATACAATAACAAACACGGCCAAAGGGCTGCTTCACAGAATTTTTATCCTAAGCCATGAATGATTTCACCTCAAGAACATAAAGATGTACAAATATATCCTCCATAACAATCACTACCCTAAACACATAATCAACAGAATAATCAACAACTACAACTCAATACTAACACCATCCACTATTGCTAATAATAGTACATCAAATCTACCAAATATAAACAAACCACCATACATTTCATTTTCAAAAATTATAAAACAATTCAAACACTTTTTTCGAAAATTAAAGATCCCACACCAGTAACAAATAAATCTGACGTAATTTACAAAATTAATTTTAAATTGACCGCAAACTTACATCGGCATTACATCCCAATATCTGGATAAAAGAGCAAAGCAAGATATTTATGATTGCAAAAAACCCAAACAAAATCTTATAGCACTGGCTACCCACCATTTTGAACACCAACACAATTTCGACTTCAACAATCCAAAAATATTACACTCAGAACAAAACAAACATAAATGTAACTTCTTAGAAATGGTTTACATCAACAGAGATAAACACAGCATCAATTACAGAACGGACACATGTGAACTCATCATTAATCAAATTAAATATCAATAACATGCGTATATCATCATTACATCACACAAAACATATAACATATAAAACAATCATTACATTCCTCACATCAAACATTTCTACATAGTCTTATTCTTCAACAATTTGCCTTTCCTTTCAGAATTTTCTTTTCGAAGATGATCTCAATAAAGATCGAAATGGCATGATAAAGAAAATGTCTTTTTAAACCTATCTCACACCAGACCGCATCACACGATCTCCAAATAATCAATAACTATAGATTATTTTTTATTTATACACATAAAACATGGTGCTTCAGAATGACAATTATTTCAAATTTAATTTCATCTTCCACCATATCAGAGCTGTTGGGTTGTAGAAATTACTACCGCTCTTGAGCAAAAGGAATGTTGCTCCTGTTTATTCCTTCCCTAATAAGCCTTCAATCTTTGCAACCATGGAAGTACTTGGAAGATTTGGAGAAAGAGAGAGAAGTCCTATTTAACAACTGATACTTTCAAGTCAACACTGGCGTGCACAATTGCAAGAGTATCCCAAGGAAATATATTAAGACGCATCCCTTATACAGTATACGCTGTAGACATTTTTACCCTTTCAACTATCCTTACTACCCGAGCGAATTATGTCATCCTTTGCCATCATAAATATCCCATGTCAAGTTCAGAATTTCAGCTTGATCCATCGTGTTGTAGACTACTTCAGTGTATTCCTAAATGTGATGCAAACCTTTAATCAAGTTGGCTCATGGAAGTTTAATAAAGTCCCTCCTTTTAACTTATTATCCTAAAAACCTCCATAACCGATAAATACTAACAAGTCATCAGTTGCACAGTTGCAGGGGTAAGTAACATTTTCTCTACACAGTACCTGCCAACCTTTGCTATCATAAATATCCTGTCATGTAAGGTTCAAATGTTCTCATTCCATTATTCATCTTGATATATACATCATCCCTAATGTTCTTTAGTAAAAGCAGTTTCTCAGGTGTATTCATAGACGTGAAGCAAACCTTCAATCTTTGCACTTGCGGCTACTCTGAAAGCTTAAGAGATTACTCCCTTTTATCTATTACCTGATCCTAAAATCTTCCTTAATTGACAGATACTTTCAAGTCATCAATTAAACAGATGCTGGGGTAGCTTAAGACCTTTTCTGTACACAGTATACTGCAGATATTCCCACCCTTTTTGATATCCTTACCATTTATGTGGATGATGCTATCATAAATATCCGATCATATCAGTTCCAAATGTTCTCATTCCATTATTCAGCTGCTCCATCGTGTTGTAGACATCATCACTAATGCTCTTTAGCAAAAGCAATGCTACTCTGGTGTATTCATAGATGTGAAGCAAGTCTTCAATCTGAAAAAGCGTCTGTACAGAGCGTCTTTATTTTAAGGGAGGTTTTCACTTTATGGGAACTGCAATATGAACTAATGTTTTATTTGTTACACATTGAACTAAGAAAACTAGGTAATGAGTTTTGCACTTTGTTTTTGTTTTGATTCACTTTCGATAGTTACCCTACAGATCTTTCCACTCTTGCTGGGGTACCACAAGGAAGACCTTAAGACCTTTCCTTACACAATATATACTAGACTTGTCCACCCTTTTTGAAACTATCTTATCAGTAGATGATGCCATCCTTCGCTCTCTTAAAGTCCATCTTGACCATAAACTTGCAAACCCATGCCACAACCCTCGAGCAGTTTACGCATATAAATGACAACAAATACACCAAAATGTAAATGTACATTTTCTCTATGAAGAATAACTATCCCATCAACGATAATAAGACTCTCCCACCAGCTAATATAGTCTGCTACCTTGGGCTATTGACAAACAACTTACATGGAACCCACACACGAATAAAAAGATAAAAACTTTAAATTTCTTAAAAGACTCTTGGACAAACAATACTGACTCTACAAAACAATTGATCCATTTGGAAGTATGGCATCAAACAATGGAGTTCAATTCCGACCTCCAGCGTATCCAAACTTAAAATCCAAAATCTTCTAAACCACCGTCAATACTCATTTCTATGTATGCAATCTTATCATTCACAATGACCTTGCTTAATTTGAGCTTAAATACCTCATATTTAAAATTAACTTTACCCCATTCAATCCTATGTCTAAGTAAAAGTATTAAAGTATTCAGATGACTCAAAAGTGTCAAGCCACATGATTTATTGCTGGTGCAGTAATGTGGTGAAAGTGTGATTTAAAAACAAACACTAAACTTTTATATGTTTTATTGTCTTTGGTGGTTAATAGAAAAAGTTTTTTTTTTTTTGGCCTTATGATCTTTGCATATTAGCCATGACGAATCTCTTATATATGTTGTTCAATCTGGGGGTTATCGGGAAAAAAAAGCCAGAGGCGACGGTGGGAATCGAACCCAAGAAAAAGTTTACTTATAAGATATTAAAGGCTGGTTAGGTTGAGTTTTGAATGATTTTTTTAAAAACTGGAATTAGTTTAATCATAGCTGATATCACATTGGTTTTGTCATTTACAGGCTAATCATTTGTAATAGATTGAAATGAGTAAAAAATAAAGATTAAACGTTTAACAAAGATTATTATGATCTGAATCAAGCGAAACGATGATAACAGCCAGACATGAATGCAATGATTATTTTTTACTAAATTACTCAGAAATGAGAAAAATCTCTTTGTCATATTTTGATTATGAGTTGAATATTAGTTTAAAAAATCGATGAATAATCGATTCTTTGACAATCAAGTAAAAATTGTATGGCACTGAAGAATCCACTCCTACCAATCCTTATTGATTCTTTATTGTTTCATTTATCATCATAATACATGATAATTAGTTTATTTATACAAAATTATTTTTTATCAATGTGTTTTTAAGTTAAAATTTTCAGTGTACAACTGCTTGTGTTTTCTGCTATCCTCTCATTTCTTATGCTGCCAAATACTTGATCATTGGATCTTAACTTTTCCACTTTGTATAATGCTTGTCTAAGCTAGTAATAAGTAAGTTATTAGCAAGAATGGAGAGGGTAGTAAATTTCCAACCAGTTCTATACTGAAAATTTTAAATTAAAAGCTCATTTAACACATTGATAAAAAAATAAGTTTGTATAAAAATATTGTCATGTTATACCGAAAAATGATGTCAACACAATCATATCTTCAACCATAATGACGATTTCGTATATTGCAGTCATTAACCACCAAGTACTATTATGAAGATGTCATGGTTGCAATTATTATCTGCCAATCGGGCAGTGTCATCAATAAGTTGAAGATATTCTCTGCCTCTATGCCATAAGCTCATTTTACTATTTACTAGGATTATAAGTTATTCTACCACTAAGACAATGCTTTCTACCATTGTGCGAAGTGTAATAGTAATATTCTTAGTTCATTTGATTATAAAGTACAGTAAATGATGATGTCCGTTCTACCTGTAAGGTGATGCTATCCAGTATTGTGTGAATATCTACCAGTACAATATTGTCTTGCATCAACTAAGATGTAATTCGTTTGTATGATGCAGAGTTGGGCAAAAAGTAGTTTAACTACAAACTACAACTACAGTATTCGAGAAGTAGTTGTAACCACAACTACTTTTGGTAGTTAGTAGTTGGTCACCTCAAGTACTTGTTTCTCAACTACAACTACTGTAGTTGGAAAAAGTAGTTGCGATTATGACTACAAACTAGTAGATGTAGTTGTAGTTATTGAGCTGTAACTACAGTTACATTGACTCTCTTCTAATATCCAAATGTCATGTGTACTATTCTGCTATGAGTTGAACAGTTAAAAATGGTTAAAAAAACATGTGGTGCAAAGCAATCACACTTCTTTCCTTACCATTCCTACACATGTGATTTTTTTCCTTTTTTGCTTTGGATGACATATTCAAGGTAGTTATGTAGTTAAAGTAAACTTAGCGGAACAGTTATCACTGAATTTCGTTTAACCTGCAGGCCAACGATATAGCGGCCCAGCGCTAGTTTATTTTTGGTCCTATTGTGGATAAGATATGAGCAAAAAGTCTCTAAATTCAAATTAATTTCATTGTGTTTCGACAGGACTAGGAGTACTTTGTAAAATGATCAGGTACAGAGATATAGATATTTTATGTAGCCCTCCATATAAACTACCTTTCCAAGCAACTTTTGAAAAAACTGACTATATCATCTTCTAGGTGCTGTTAAAAAACTGATTTTATGGAATAAGTACCTACTGTTTTGTTTTCCAAATGGTGGTTTTTTTGTTGTTTTTTTCATTACAAGTTATTCAAACATGAAAAGCGACATTTTCTTAACCACCACTTTTCTCCGGGAGTATTCCAGGTATATTTGAATTGCATATAAAGTTTTCACTTGAGGCCTGAAAATGTAAAATGCAGTAAGTGCCTGACACTTTGCCAGTCATAGATTTTTCGCTCTCCTGAAAGTTTTTAATTCATGCGTTTTCCATTTCCAGTCATCGAAAAATCATAATTTTGATATGCATTCCCAATGCACCTAGAATTTATGCTTGAAACTTGTTGAGAAAAAGAAATAAATTGACTCATTCAGAGAGATTAAATACATAAAATGGGATCATTTGGAATTTTCTAACTTTACCTGTCTTTCCAAGGCCAAAGGAATTCTGATGTTATTTCTTTTTTTAGCTTTTATAATCTACCTATTTTGTTACTAAATTCTAAAATTTGGATTTTTGGCTTATCCTATCCATAACAGAATTTTCATTGTTAAAGTGTTTTACCATTCCTATTTGTCTATAAGTCGTGGCATATGTAAGTGGACTGTGGTACTGTGGAAAGGGCTCTTAATACATAGAGCTACGGTTTGATGCATTTTGCGTCAATGTAACTGTAGTTGGAGCTCAGTAACTACAACTACATCTACTAGCTTGTAGTTGTAGTGGTAACTACTTTTTGCAACTACAGTAGTTGCGATTGAGAAAATATTAATTGTCAGAGGCCAACTACCAACTAGTAGTTGTAACTACTTGAAATGTAGTTAATGGTTGTAAATAACATTTTTCTAGAATTTAGGTTACTTAGGCACTTAGTTGTAGCTTGGAATTACTGAGGGTTTTTGAAAGTAGTTGCCTACTTAGTTAACTACCGCACTTCTCTGGTATGATGTCATGTGCCAATTTTGTAACAATTTCTACCATTATGATACCAATCTGCTATTAAATATCAACTCAATTATAATAGTCATCTTCCATAATGAAAAGGTTGCAAATCCATTTATGAAGATGCCATAACGATATGAGTAAGCCATTCTTCCAATTATACCCATGTCATCTAACATTATGAAGATGACAGGTCAGCATTGCACTTTTGTCTGACAATCCGACACTGTCATCAAATTGGTTAAAGATAATTTCTGCCTCTATAATGCCATAAACTGTATGTCTACTATGATGATGATTTGATTCTTCTAACCAAAAATAGAGCTTTGTTCTGTTATTTGAACCCAAAGTTTTCACCAGAAATTTCACCAAAAATGTGCTCTTACACCTTTCTTGAGAATATTTACCATTTTGAGAATGTCATCTGTCAGCATAACAATAATCTCTATCTATTTGCCCATTAGATTATAATGTCTACTAGTATGATGGTGCGACTCTACCAATTAGACAATATCATTTTTGATCATGTTGCATGACATCTGTCATTATCACTATATTGTCTGTCAGTATGAAACGTCATCAACTGTGATAGAGAAGTTATGCTTATATGATGTCATCTACCAATTTTCCTGTAGTGTCCACCAGAATGATGACGTTATTTTATCTATTCGATTGTGCCATCTATTATTCAATGTTATCTGCCAGTATAATAGTATTGTTTGTTTGTATGATAATTACATCAATTATGATGATGTTCACTATCTGTCAGTTGAAGAGCCTACCAGTGTGATAAAATCAACTTGCCTCACCCCTCAGTGCGCTTTGAAATTTACAATTAGTTAAAGAAGGATATTTAAAAATGTGATAAATGAAAATATATAAGTAAATTATTTTTATTTCATATTATTTACAGAACAAGTAATAAATGATATAATATAAAGTACAGTAATGACTTAAGTACCTTCAAAAATATAATTTACACTTTACCTATCACACTCACTATTATATATATATATAATGAAGAGACTATATACAATTTTCTTTTTTAAAATAATAATTTTATATTTACAACAATAAAACTAAAAAAAAGAGATTAAAAAACAAAAACACCGCATATGGCTTCAAAAAGCAGAGAAGAATATACAATTAAAGATTTATCATCAAGAATTATCATAATGGCACTTGATTTCCCAACTTTGAAAAAATTAAAAATAAAAAAGAGAGAAAAAGAATAAAGGATTTAAATAAAATAATTTGGAAATACATACTTAAAAAAAAGAGAGAGAGAGAGCAGAATGTGCTAAATGTATATGCCTGTCTGCTAAATGAAACCCTTCATTTCCCGAAGGCCAACACCAAGATGGAAGTAATGACAATTTCTAAAATCCGAGTGCCCCTTTTGTTTAAAAAAAAAAAAAAAATAATAATTTAAAAAAATTCCATTAACATTAATTTGAAAATATCACAAACACAGGCAGACAATGCCTACCATAATAACAAAAATTTGATTAAATATAAAAAATATTTCATTCTTATAATTTTTTTTACAATTTGGTGCAAACTAACAAAAAAAAAACTTTTCTAAAACAAACAATATTTCATTCATTACGTATATCAAGAGCATGATTAAAAACTAATTACGATGATAATGTTAAATCACAATGAGTCATTAAATCACATAACCAAATAAACGATTAATTTGATATATTAACTTTTAATTTTATTTATGATAATTGGTTCAGTTAAATTAATGTTTTACAACAAATTTTCCTTGCATTATTTTTGTGATTTTAATGAATCATGCCCTAATGTTTTGTGATTAGCACCACTATATTTGTTAATTCATTATGGCACCTAGATTGTGCTCCGAATGTTTGATTTCTTGCAGTCACAATTTTTTTCTTCTTTTTAAAATTGCAAAAAGCGAAAGGACTGAGTATACTTTTAAGGCACAGCATTTTTTTTAACAAGTATTTTAAAATATTTTATTTTTACTATTTTCTCTTTTTTTAGATATAAAAAATCTGAAAGCACTTTAGGAAGAATTTCATGAGAAAAACTTTTTTTTCCGGAAAAAACAATCTACAATAAGTTAAATTTTTGAGCACAAAATGAAATTAATTATGAAAACTAACAGGTAGGAACAAGAGATGAGATTTAAATCCTCCTATATAAGCAATAGGTACAAAAAATAATGTGCAATCCATGAAGTTACTAATGATTAGCATAAACTTTTGAGAAGATAGAGAAAAAAAATGGTGAAAACTCATGGATTGCCTTTTTGACCCCAAATGTCAAACAAGAAACTAGCAAAATAATAGAAATACACCATTTTGGTACCAAATTATTTACAAGATAAAAAATAATTTAATTTTTAAAGATATTATTAAACCTAGATATTGATGTTCGTCAAACCGCGCATCCTTTCCGTGTGCCATACAAGATCTTGAGCTCGGGAAATATTTTATACTTGATGAGCGAGTTCGTCTTTGATGCCTGCATGGCCCTCACGGGGTCTCGTTTCAGCTTCTTTATCCCGGGCCTATGGACGAGGAACGCGTTGTCGAGTATTTGGAACTCATAGTCCAAAACACACAGGATGTAGCCCTGAAGAAAACAAACGCTCAATACATAAATTTTTAAATAATTTCAATAATAATTTAATTAATTTGGTGTATAATCACCTGTGTCATTTTGTCGCTTTTTCCTTCCCAGCTGAGCCTTTCATCATAGAAGGGATCGCTGTTGGTCCCGATGTATATCGGCTCCCAGTGGATGAAGTAACCGGTGCGTTTCCCAATATGGAACACTCTCAGCCCGCCCATAGTGCTATTCGCTTTCAACCATTCTTTCGTGTGAGGCACATTATGGCAACCTGGACACAGTCTCTTGTGGAATGGAATCGCAGTACCATTCTTAAGCATTGCTACCTGAAATCATATCACCACCAAACTTAAATGACGATTATATATTTCCTTTTTTAATAATTTTTAAAATAATTTTGTGTTTAAAAAAATCTCTGAATTTTTCATCCTTCCCCTAGTACATATATTCAACCTATCCTGTTCACTAGGGTGATTCCCCTCCATTAAAAAAAAAAAAAAAATCATTAAATCAGGTTCAAAATCTGATGTTAATAATTACAGACCCATTTCTTTGACCATAACTGTTGCTAAAATCTTGGAAGAATTGATTAAAAATAGATTGTTTGATTTTCTTAATGTCCATAATATAATTTCTCCTAAACAATATGGTTTCAAGCCTGGCAAGCCAACTGAACAGGCACTATTTGTTGTTAACAATATTTCAAAATAGAGGTTGTCGTGTTTTTGGGTTATTTCTAGATTTGAAAAAGGCTTTTTTGATTTTTATTGAAAAAACTAAAATTAATAGGAATTATTGAGGTTCCAAGTAAACTTATTGAGTCTTATTTAGTGGGTAGAACTCAGACAACAAAAGTTGCAACAGTCTATAGCAATTCATTGCCTATCATCTCTGGCATCCCTCAAGGTACTGTTTTAGGTCCTGCGTTTTTTCTATTATATACTATTGATCCTTTAAAATTGAAAATATCCAGTAAAGTTATATGTTATGCTGGTGATACGTACTTGATTTTTTCTGGAAGAATAATCGATAATTTATATCTATTAACAATGATCTTAGAATAATTTATTGAAATCATGAGAAGCGTTCGAGAATGGGGTAGTTAAGAAAAATACCTTTTTCATTATTTTACTGATGTTTCAACCTTTATTCGGGTCATCTTCAGGGCATAAAGTGAGGTGTTATCCTTGTGGTGTCATATTGGTGTTGTGTGAAAATGTTTTGTACGTTGACAAAAAAAAAATAAATAAATAAATAAATGAAAAAGGCGTTTTTCTGAACTATCTCATTCTTAATCGCTCCTCATGACTTCAACAAGTTATGAAACAACAGGTCACCAAGAAACACAAATGATCTTAGACTTGTTAAAACACGGTTATCTTCTAACTGTTTACTTTTAAACAATGATAAATCCAATGTCTTAAATTTTCATTAAGTAGAAGATTAGTTTTAAAGAGCTTTAAATTTTGTTTCCATATGTGTAATTAATTATTTAACTTAACTGTTCCCCCATACCAATTACAAATAATTCTAAATACTTGGGAGTTATATTAGACTCTAGGTTAAATTTTAAGTTACGCATTGTTTCTTTAGTTATGCTAACTCTTAGAAAACTATTAGAAAGCTATGCTCTAATTTAGAAAACTCCTTTATAAATTCAGTGTATTAAGAAAGATCCTACATTTAAAATGGTTATAATCAGTTTTAGTTCAGTCTATAATTTGCTATGGTATTGTTTTATGGGGTGGAACCAATAATTTTTATTTAAATCCATTAATTATAACTCAAAATTCTCTTTTGAGAATTATACTTTCTAAACCTTTTAAATTCAGCACTGTGATATTTTTCAGGTCCTAAAGTATAAACAATTGTTTTTAAAATGTTCTTGTTTGTACGTCTTTAAAAATAATGTTTTTGCCAAATCAAACAATGAGAATCAAACAAGACAAAAAATAATAACTAATACTTTCTATATCCAAAGTAAACAATAATTTTTCATTAAATGTTGTTTTTAGGTTTCTTTACAATCATAAAATTAAATTTTACAAATTTAGTTATCATTATGATTTTAAAAAATTATTACTGTAAAAGCTTTAAATTTATACTAACTTTTTATTTATTTTATCAGCTTATGCTTAATAATATAAATACTCAATTAATTATACACAATTTTTTCGAAATGAAAATTTTTTGTAACAGGCGGGATTCGAACCCACTATTTTCGGCTAAATACGCCGCTGCTCTACCACTTGATCCACCATGGCACAAACTTCTCATTACGACTCCCCGTTTTATTCCAATTGTAAGCAAAACGCGGCTCCATATAGAAACACTTTTTATTAACAATTGTACTACATTAGCGGGACTATGTATGATTCACTCGAGATTAATATACTAGATTAATACTAACTTTTTAATTATTTTGTCAGCTTATGCTTAATGACATAAATACTCAATTAATTATACACAATTTTTTCGAAATGAAAAATTTGTGTAACGCGGGATTCAAACCTACAACTTTCGGGACCTTTTATAGGTGACAGGCAAAAATGTATAGATTGGCTTCAATTACTTAATTTTTAGTTATTATTTTATCCTTCATTTTTTCCCCTTTTTAAGTTTTATATTACTGTATTACTGTACTTTTTGCAAATAAAATAATAATAATAATTATTAGAAATTTTAAGCGTTAAACAATAAAGAATAATGGGTGCTGAAGTAGTTATAAAAATCATTATAGCATCCAATAATCATCTCTCACTGAATCCTGGGTTTTTTATTTGCAACATTAAATTTGAGAAAATTTTAGAACATGGCCTAACCTCTAATATATGACATCTCACATTGTTAGATGTCAAGAACATATTTTATACAATAGACCTCTATATGTATTTTTAAAAGCCATACTACTTTTCTTTGTTTTAATCTTAGAATAAGGCTGAATTGGAAGTATGCACATCAGTAATGATCATATTTGTTGTTATACTAGTTCACTTACTTTCAGCTATCTAAAATTAACTTGCAAACAAGATTTATACTTACTAATTCAGTCTTATCAGATGGGAGACTCATATTAGCTTCCAGTTCGAATATAGAGAGTGGAAAGACTTTTGGTTTTTTGTGTTTAAGGGGTGGGTCATGTCTTTTGACCATGTCTAGAAAGTCCGGTATGACCCCTGGACTGGGATAGAGCTCAATGTCTGAGGCGAGTATATAATGCGTCGTCGCCATCTCTCGAGCGATGTTGCGACCGACGTTTATCGGGTAGGTAAGCTTCTTTTCAGCCTTGTACGTCGCCTTGTCCACCCACGGGGGCTGCAACGAGCAGTTGTACTTGTCACCTTCTAGGGCCTGCCATGGCTTAGGCACCACCTTCGGCAAGTGTTTGTTTGGAAAGAAAAAATGGAAAGTGACGAACTCACTTATGGGCTGAGGACTGCAATCACGCAGATACCTGAAAAATTCAGAATAATACCATCATTATTAAATTAATATCTCGACAATATATTTAATTTCATACCTTATCGTTTCAATTGATTTATTGAAATCATAGCCAGGTGCATGCATGGCAAGAGATATCGGACCTTTCCATCTATCTAAAAGCGGTTCAAGATTGTCGAGAAAAGTATAGTCAGCATGCGTCGTGTATGTTATACTCTCCCAACACCTGAAAATAATAGAAACTGTCAAAAAAAAAAAAAAAAATACATGTAACCGGCTAGATTTTAGTCATCATTGCATAGTCTGGTGATCAAAAGTACAAACAATCACAAGCTAAAACCAATACATATATACTAATTAAAGATCCTGTATCAAAGGAGGTCATGAGGTTTTACGACCTACGGATAAAGATTGCTGAATTATTGTAGCCATCTCGTTATTATTGACAATTTATTTAAACACCATTAATAAACCAGCGAGAATAGACAGACCTTGTAAAAAGATCAGTATCAATTATTTCAACATAGAAGTTCATTCACTTTCAGAACAACCGACTCCACCAACTTGATCATCATGGCTCATCACTGTATGCATATCTTGTCAGATGCATTTCAGCATTACACAGGTTGCCAGACCAAGATGATCAAAGACAATCAAGCTGCAGGTTTATAATCGAGCAGATCTCAACACACTATAACCAACGTGAAAAAACAAAAAACATACCAAAGGATCTAAAATCATAAAAAAGAACACAAAACTCTATAGGTTACATTGTTATCTTATTATCTGTTTCTCGTAATTGCCAAAAATCACTATTTTTTTGTTTTGAGGTTTGGCGGGTTGAATAAAAATTTTAAAATGTCCTGCGACCTACATAGATCTATTGTGAAACCCATATAAATTATAACCATATGTTGGAAAGTGCACTTTTTCCTATAAACCTAAGCAATTCCCTTGGTACCTCTTGATGTACCTCTTTTGGGTGAGAGTTGCTATATCAATAACCGGGCTAATGCTTCATATTCACAAAGGATATGTGCCGATGTCTCCATTCTGACATAGATGGCATACTAAAGTTTTGCTTAGCCCATCTTTACGTATTAATTATTCGTATGTAATACATGGCCAGTATATACTATTTTCATACGTTTCTTAAGTTGCCCCATACCTGGTGCAGTGCTTGAGTTTTTCTTTCTCGAGCCATTTTTCCAGTTCCAACTTAAGCACATGGTGCTAATAATTGTGTTCTGGTCTTTGGGTGAAAGGATTTTTATGCTAGTTGGTCAGCCTGTTTATTTCTTTCTATACTTTCACATTGTGGTACTTCCAGACAAGTTTGGAGTTGACAGGATGGCTGCCTTTATAGCTGCATGGCTGTCTGAGAGTATTTAAATATGTGCATCTTTCATATTTTTCTTTATTACTCCTGTGCACAGAGCTGAATTGCATGGTCCTCAGTTTGGAAAATTGTTGGGATTAGTTCAAGCGGCTAAGGTTCGGCCCTTTTACTCCTACACCTACTTCCTGACCATCTTTGGTCTATTGTGTATCATAGATTTACCATTTAGGGCTTCTTCATAAAATTTAAGCCGCATTTCTTCCGAACGTTTCTATTTTCTATGATAACTTAGAAGGGTCTGTCAAAGTTGAGCTTTTCTCTTATTTTGTCAAGCACTGTTATAGTTTCGTGGCTCCTTAGGTATGCATTGCCCCTGTTAAAATCACTATATAAAATTAGCCATTACTTTTTTTATTTTTAAGTGATTTTCTTTTTAGAGTTGAGGTGAACGTTTATTTTGTACTTTCTTCATGTTTTTAAAGGTATACCAACCCGCATGACTGGTATGGTTTGTGGGTATGGTCGGTACTCGTTCATTTAACAATTAGTTTAATTTCGTTTGGAATAATTGCCAAATCCTCGATAGCAGGTGATAGCAGATAGAGTAAACGTACTTGAACTGCCTCTCCGCTTTGATGTAATTGTGTAGAACCCAGAAGTCACCCCTCTGGGCGGTGAACTGCCTTCTCGGGATGTCGTCACACTCGATGTTGCTCTGCACCTTCGACGAGAGGGTCGTCGACACGTGTTCCGTCGTCACCTGGGTCCTGTTGGTCGGCGTCGTCGAGCTCCCGGGTCCTAGAAATTAAGAAACTGACATCAGGACTGTAATAATTGTGGTCCAATCGCTCAAATCTTGTTTTTTGAAAGTTAATAAACTTTCTCCAACTCGAGATTAATAAATTAAAAGCTTTTAGAAAAACCAATATATTAAAAGAAATCGGCTATTTTGAAAGTTTCATTCTGAAAACTTTTCAAAGTTAACAAAGTTCACTTTCCAAATATCTTTTGTGCTGACCGTTTTCTCTTGTAAGTGTAGTAACGGAACGCTCCCAGCCAAAATTTTTTATGTTTTAACACTGCATTACGCATAGAAATGATGAAGTGAAATGATGAACATTTACAAAAAGTGAAAAAAAATGCATCAAGCGTTGTCCCGACCGGTTTTCAAAAGGGGGAAAGTCCAACAGGACGCGGGACTTCGCCGAGAGCTGCCAGGTTTGAAATTTTCAAAGGTGAAAGTCCTGTGGGACTTTCGATACTATTTATTACTGCAATAGACGTTTCGTGTAATAAAATTCGCCATGTTAGGTCGAACTTTCATTGATAATAACAAGCTTCTAAGATGAACTCTGAGCTTCATGACTTCTAAAGCTGGTTTCTTTACCACTCAGCCGTTATTTTTGCTAAACGTCAAGAAATTTTTACTCTGAGAAATGGAAAAAGCCATAAATTTCAATTTTTAACCACTGCTTGTGAAAATTCTTAGATTAAAGAAAGTCGAGGGTTTCTTATTTTTTTTTTAAATATTTTTTTTACTTTCCGGACCGTGGCTAAATGTTCGATTCCTCAGAGGATTCTGTTTGAAATAATAAAATTTGCCATTTTAAGCTTCAATACTTTTATTGATAATAACACATCTCGTAGATGAACTCTGCAAGTTACATTCCTTCTTAAGCTGGTATTTTGTTATTCAACATGATAGTTTGCCAAATTTCAAAAAATTTGTACTCTGAAAAGTACAAACGCTAATAAGGCCAAAAAGAAAATCGAGGGCGTTTCTGATTGTGATTTACTTTTCGGAACTGTGTCCGAACGTCCGATATCTGAGAAGATTCTGTTTTAAAAATAAATCTCGGGGTAAACAAACAACACAAGGCATTTGGATCATGGGGAGTCTTTTGTTCAAATAAATCCAATCAAATACTATTTCAAACTTGACCGGCTAAACCTAGGCTTCAAGTCAAAACCTGATTTTAAACTATTACGATTAAAAACTGCCACATGTCTTATGTTCAAACTAAAAAAGAACACAATTAATCAAAAGGAATAAATATATCAACATGGAAGATCATTATTTCGTTGCTTACCAGATGTCTTGGCTCATCTGGGCCCTTTTAATTATTTCTTTTTTAAATGACGCTATTACGTAATTAATGTATATTTAATGCCATGGTAAAATTATACTTAGTATTTTTTTATACGTCAAAAAATAAAAGAGGCACATTAATCTTACCGGCGGCCTGTGTGATGTCATTTGATGACTAGTCATTCCCCAATAAAAGAAGAAGAAACCAAGGATGTCTTTCAAGGACACGGGACGTCCTGACGGAAATCCTTTGGATGACGTGTTTCGCGAGGTTCTTGTTAAGAAAAACTGGTCTGAGGATGAAAACGTGTCCCGAACCTTTGGCCTTTTGATTCATTCAAAAGATCTTGATATTGTTAGGTGGTATGATTGAATTTTACTTTATTACCACATGTGACGGCCTTTGATCCCAATACGAATCAAGTCTATTATCTGTTTTGCGAGTTAAGATATCTGAAAATGTTTTATTATCGGCTTATTCTCCAATCTATACATGAATCGATATACATCATACAGATCATCTTGATGTTGGCTCTCCCCGGGTCGGTGTCAGCCATCTTCAGTGTGTCAGACAAGTCAAGTCTCTTTTATAATTCCTGGGGTGGGATGAGGTGTGTCGGCATTTTCTTTATTTTGGTACCTATTTTCGACGATTAAGTCTGAGTTTCTTTACTGTTCAGGGCGGTCTTTGAGAACTTCGGTATTTTTTTTTTAAATATGTATACGTATTGTTGTTAATTTATGCTGATCTGGTGTAGGGTCACTTATTGGGTCCGTCTTCACTCGCGGGTTTGTTGAATTACTCAAACGCGTTTCGCCATCTTCTGTGAGGAACTGTCAGTCCCTTCCTGTTTTATACTTTTTGTAACTTCACTTCCCAGTAGGGCTTATATGTCATTGGGTCCGCCGGTTTTCGCTAGGGCGCCTGCAGTAGGGCGGTCATGGTATTCAACTATACCGTGATAACAACGGTTATTTCCGTCATCGCTCATCATTTCTGCGTTGTTAGTTTCTTGTGTTTTTTTTAATGTTGCTTTCTTCAGAACGTTTGCGTTTTTTGATATGTAGTGTTTTTAGTGGTGTGAAAATGTGTTAGTACATTTATAAGTTTTCCTCCAGTACGTTGAGTTTTCGTCTCTTTTCTGTGTTGTGTATAAAGTCAAGCTTGTTTCTATTTATTTATTTAGAAATCGTGAGATGCGGTCTGGTGTGATGTAGGTTTCAGAAAAACATTTTCTTTATCGTGCCAACGTTTCGATCTTTATTGAGATCATCTTCGGGGCTTGGGATTTACAAACATTGTTTACATATAACAATTACATTTTGGATGTGGAAAAGTGAATTTATACAAGGCAAAATATATTTTTTATATATTCAATCAACGGCACTCCCGACACGACACGCAAGAATGGCACAATTACACAGAAGACAACACTTTGAGTGAGTAGAAATACTTTGATTGAATATATAAAAAATATATTTTGCATTGTATAAATTCACTTTTCCACATCCAAAATGTAATTGTTATATGTAAACAATGTTTGTCCCAAGCCCTGAAGATGATCTCAATAAAGATCGAAACGTTGGCACGATAAAGAAAATGTTTTTCTGAAACCTACATCACACCAGACCGCATCTCACGATTTCTAAATAAATATCGATTAACGGTCACTAATCACCACACACTTGTTTCTATTGTTCAATTCAGCAAGCCCGCAAGTGAAGACGGACCCAATAAGTGACCCTATGCCAGTCATCGACTCGCAGACCACATCCATCATTAACTCTGTTGTTAATTAATTTTTTTTGTGATGGTTTTCTGTGAGATGAGTCGCGTAAAGTGACGATCTTGAATGTTCCTTCTTTGATTTATTTTTCTATCCTGCCTGTCCGATGTATTTGTTTCCCTAGCTATATGCCATTTTTGACTTGAGTTGGTTTTATCAATGTTTTGCCAGTAGTATCCAAATTGTGTTAGTCGTCTTCAGGGCTGTTTTAATTTATAATTTGTTAAATAGATTTATTTGTTTATACGTTTCTTTATGTATGTGAATGTGGTCCATTTAGTGTTTGTTTTTGTAGTGTCGTTTTGTTTATGACATTGTTGATTGTGTTTGTCTGGTTATTGCGTGGTTTTTATTGTTTTTAGTCTACCATGCTGCCACCATTTTGTGTCGGTCGGGAAGATTTGAGAAAGCTTTGATTGTAAGATTTTAAAGGTCGCTGTTAGTTTTTCTATATATGTCGAATTGTAGTTGGTTGTCAGTTTTACAGATTTTTTTTTGTGATTCTCAAAGCGTTAGGTGTGAATTTTGAATCGTGAATGAGCTTTTTAAGAACTCAAGTCAAATGAAAACTCCTTTAAGCGTTTTGGAGTTCCGTCCAGAGTTATTACGTTAATCGTCGAGGCCTTCGAATAATTCCGAGCTAAATGACTCTTAGACGTGTTCAATTTTTTTTTTTCAATTTGTAAAAATTATCTGTCTCCTTGGTCAAATTACACGCGGGAAAATAACAATTTTTTCATTTGACACCGCGGCAATTAAAGCAGAACGTCATTATTCATAGCTTTTATGGAAAGGAGAACAAAGAAAAAAGGGGTGTAACAATACAATTTTTTAAAAAGAAACTTACTTTATTCACAATGGACACACCCTTTATTGCAAATCGATTAATAGACGACACGATCGACCTGTTGAGTCTTCGTCAGGACGACGTGGTGCCAAAGGGGGCGTAAATTGAACACGAACGGTAAAAAATATATACTTTTTATTACAATTTCAAAGAGGGCGCTATTTGAGCAGAAAGTCAAGCACAAAAGGGCAACAATGACACGGAGGAAAACACCTTACAAAGCTCGCCTTTCAGAGGTGTAAGTTTATTTGGCCGGATTGAACACAATGCATTGTGCTCGGGTTAAAAAGAAAACCCCGGACGTCCAAACAGATCTTACAAAATGCTCTCTTTTGTAGGGAATCATGCGTAAATATGTTTTCTCCTATTTTTTCTTTGTAATAAAAAAAAATTATATTTTAATTTATAAATGATCCCCCCTGGCAATCATTGGCATCCGGCTAGCATGTTTTATTCATCAAGACGTCTTTTTACCATTTTGTGCACCGGAGACGAAGCGTCGAAAAGTTTACACTGATAGAATCACAAATTACCCGGAGGCCGTCGACAAATTGACTTAATCCGGAACGTGAGGGCTTACAACGCGGATGCACCTGGTCGAAAACAGCTACCAAAGCCCTTCCTCTATATTCGCCAGCAAATAGAAAGGGCTTTTATTTAATAAGGGAAAAACTCTTTTTGGATTTTAACGTCTAGTTTGACCGTGGGAAATCTGCAACAGACCGCAAACCCTACCCAGGCGACAGTCGAAATACCTGGGCGTTTCCTAAGAATTTGCGGTATTTTTTAAAGCCCCCTTCGTCAGATTATGGCTTTTGTCAAACCTTTCCTGGCTACTAAGCTGTACCAAAATGTGAAAAATAACTGAAAATATGTCATAATCGCATCCGACGATCTCCTGTAAACCATATTGAAAATTCATCTTCGGATTTTGCTTTTGTTTTTAAAAGCCGGCTTTAACAGGTTTATATAAATGTTGTTTATTCGGAGAGATTTGAAAAGTCAACCGACTACCTGAAGAATGCCGGTAAAAAAGGAACCAGTGTGAAACAGGCTGAATTTGCTTTTATTAATCAAGTCTACAAATTTTTTTAAACAATATATATTTTACACTATCAGAATGTAAATTTCTTTAGAAAAATAAGTCTTGAGTAAATTAAATTGCCTTTTTTACTCAACTCTACCCATACTTTAGAGCATGGATCGGCTTTTTTTAGAAAAGGACCTAATCAGGTTTGACGGGCCATTACAAAACATAATACGACTGTGAACTGCGGAAATGATTTGGATTTGTATTTACACAGGGTGTTCGGCTACTCGTGTTACAAACTTTGCCAGTAGATTCTGCATTCAAAATGGAACCAAAAATTAATTGTGCTCTGAATCTTAACAGTTTCGTTTTTTCATTTAAGATATCAAGACCTTCCTTCAAATAAACAATGACAACTGAAAGGTTTTGGACAAATCCGTTGATACCATTGAAAACTACGTTAAATTTCCAATAAGAAGTGCTCAATACTAAATATGTAAACGTTGGTGAAATAATTTAATAATAAATTAAATCTTTCTTCCTTACCAATCCGTCAATCACGGTTTTTACCTTTCCTTCATCAATTTGGTTGTTGGTGAAATAAGCGTTTTAGTAGCCCGAAGTTTTAAAAATAAGTTTTTGTTCAATGTTGAAAAACTTACTAAGATGATTCTAAACTGCTATTTCTAAACCTAGAGACCAGCATATTTCAGAAAACGTACTCCGTTTAATATCCTTTTTACTGGTGTAATTGGTTTTTTAATTACTTTTTCAAATATGAAGAAATTGATGAAGGAAAGGTAAAAATCGTGATTGACGGATTGGTAAGGAGGAAAGATTTAATTTATTATTAAATCATTTCACCGACGTTTACAAGTTTAGTATTGAACACCTTATTGGACATTTAACGTAGTTTTCACTGGTATCAATGGAATTGTCCAAAACCTTTCAGTTTTGATGTTATCATTTGAAGCAAGGTCGTGAAATCTTAAAAATCATAAAAAAACTCCGAAACTGTTGAGATTTGAACCATAGTTAATTGGGACTTTTTGGGTCCATTTTGAATGTAGAATCTACTAGCTAAGTTTGTAACACGAGTAGCCGAACCCTGTATAAGCACAAATCTGCCCGTGTATGCCCATGTTACAGAGTTGAGACTATCAATTCTCGCAGTCCACCGGCAATTCCAGCTTTTATATTTTTCAATAAATTACCCCCAGGTCTCGAGAATCACCCATTTCGGGTGTCGGCAGTCCGGGGTCAGTCCTCGGTCTTATCCCTCCAGCTACCGAGGTTGGGGTTCCGGGTGATGTGAACAGCCAGGTCGACCCCACGCAAAGTTACAAACCCATTCACACTCTCACTCATTCTTAAATACATTCCTCCTATTTACTTACGATTAACTCAATTAGGGTGGTGGTATGCTCGATAATTCCTCCATCACCCTCTCATATTAGACATTCACGCTAATAAATACTCTCACTCTCAATACACGTTAGGGCACAAATCTATCATTACTACCATTACTACATACTACCTCTCACAAAAGCGCCTAAAAATGGAAAAGAACCCTTTTTTGTTACAATAACAAAATTGATTCGGTTGGGAGGACTAAAGTAATTTTGACTTCATTTCCTTCATCTGTCAAAAATACTAAATTTTACTCCCATCTGAGAAGAGGACGTTCCAAAAGAACTTGTCCTTTTGTAAATTTTTTTGTAACATTCTAGGTTATTATTTAAGTTTTTAACTAATGAAGGTTTTTTTACTAGCTACTCCTTCATGATAGTCGTTGTTTCTTAACGTAATCCTTACATATAGCTCAAGTGGTTAGAGCAGCGGCGTATTGAGCCGAAGGTCGTGGGTTCGAATCCCGCTCGTGACACTAACTTTTTCATTTCAACCAAAACCTTACATAAAAAGACATAATAATAAAGACAGAAAAACAGAATAATTACTACAAGAGAGCAACTAGTTGATTCATAACTTGACCAAGTGGTTCAAATATATGTTTTATGAGGAGGAGTCGTTTAAAGGAGTTTTGTCAAGAAATCTACTTCTTTGCTCGGTCCCCTTAGTCAGGTTATCTCTGATGTCAGGGATATAAGCAGGTCGAGGCTAGCTTCTGACCCTTAACATATTTCAATTGACAAAATCAAAGTATGAAATACTATTAAGACACATTTTCGAAAATATCTAGTTGAACCACTTTACCAAATTGGTTTGTTACAAAAATTAAAATTAACTCCGTTATATTTCGTGGTCCGATTGACCAAATACCTTCTTTCAATTAATTAATCTTTTTTGTAAGGTATTGGATTGAAATGAGAAAATTGGTGTCACGAGCTGGATTCGAACCCACGACCTTCGGCTCAATACGCCGCTGCTTTAACCACTTGAGCTATCGTGGTTCAAGTGGTTAGAACAGCGGCGTATTGCGCCGAAGGTCGTGGGCTCGAATCCCGCTCGTGACACTAACTTTTTCATTTCAACCAAAACCTTACATAAAAAGATTAATTAATTGAAAGAAGTAATCTTTACATTTTCAGTACTGACGACCATCTCGTTTAAGTTGTTAGCAATGCAGGGGCTTAACATTGAATTTGAATTTGGTTATCATTTGTACTGTAAACCGTCTTTAGTTTTAAATATTTTAATATATTGTTAACTATATCTTTTGGTAAATATATTCGGAAACTAACAGATTAGTCTACCAATTTGGATTTCCGCTTCAAAACAGATCTCTTCCACTTCGAAAATCACCAAGAATATGTGCATCGGTGCATGTTGTTAATGTGGCACGTGGTCAAAATAAATCGAGGGAGGCGATAGAAACTCAGAGGATTTAAAAAACGTTCGTGTTAACGATTTTTGGTACAATAATATAAAAAGGTCGATAAAGGTTATAAAAGTTCCACTGGTTCCGTTGCTATTTACAATATATCCCAACATATTATCGCCAAATCCTGACTCTGAAATATCCAGAATCACTTATACTTAGAGCAGTGGTTCACAAAAAGGTGCACTCTGTAAATCTAAAGGTAAAAATTTTCCGTCCGGGGCATCTTTCTCTTTTTAGTCTTTAATTTTAAATCTTCTCCTAGTTGAAAACAACTACCTAAATCTACTGACTAATTAACCGTGTACTTGAGAACAAAAGGCTCCTCGATACCATTATACTAAATCTATGAGGCTCAACTAGCTTCCAACCTTAATCGAGACCATGAAATCACGTACAGTACAATCCATTGTTAACATACCATTTTACCACAAGACAACACCATACAAAAGGATTTAAATTACCTTAAATAAAAGGTAGTTGTGTTTTCTTGTATGTTACGTTTTTAGTCGGCACGTAGGAATTGAAACGGTTTATTTTAAAGGCGAAGTCCGGCCAAGTTATTTGAGTGTTTTGTTTATTCTCGCGCTGCAAAAGACAGTCAGAAAATAGTCGTTGATGTTCCAAATGTGAAATCGGGTTTATCCAATTGGCAACATTTACCAAGTCGAACCTTGGCCGGGATCCAGGTAGTTGTTGTTTTCCCCCCTGGATGCAATCGTAGAAAAAGTACTGCAGGTTCGACACGATTTTTTCCATTAATGATTAAGCTTCAATGTTAGGTTTTTTTTTTTTTTTTTTTTTTTTTTTTTTTTTTTTTTTTTTTTTTTTTTTTTTTTTTTTTTTTTTTAATGAATCACCACTTACCGAGTGTGTTGGTGCTCGGTGCGACAAAGCTCGGCGGTAGTGAGCCGATGTCCAGCAGGATCCTCCGGGAAGCTTCGCCCGCTCTGCCGCCTTCCGGGACGACGACGGCACCCCCTGTAACGTCGAAAACCCCATCACTAGATCTCCTGTTCCTGAAACATTACAAAAATATTGTGACATTTGTCCATATACTCTGCATGGTTATGAGCAGAGACCGCATTTTTATGCAGTAACAATTGCCAAAATATGCAGTTGAAAGCCCTGAAATATGCAATAATATGCAGTGTTAATACGTTAAAAAATGCAGTGGTATGCAGTAAACCAGTTTTTTACTATCATAGTAACTTTTAACATGAAATATAGATCATTAAACGAAATAGATATAAAAATCTTTAAAACTAAAAATAATTAAAATACACAAGTATTTAGTGTTTTTTTCAACTACTTTTAAGGGTATTTGAACTATGAGTTTAGGTTTCAGAAAAACATTTTCTTTTTCGTGCCGACGTTTCGATCTTTATTGAGATCATCTTCAGGGCTCAAAGTGTTTGTCTTCTGTGTAATTGTGTCATTCTTGCGTGTCGTGTCGAGAGTGCCCTGAAGATGATCTCAATAAAGATCGAAACGTTGGCATAAAGAAAATGTTTTTCTGAAACCTACATCACACCAGACCACATCTCACGATCTCTAAATAAATATCGATTAACAGTCACTAATCACCATACTTTATGAGTTTATTTGAACCCTCGAAGTGCCGATGTTTTTGAAAAAAGCCCATTTGTATGTCAGGTTCGAATGCAGGGCCGCTGGGTTCGAACCCGGGACCTTTACTTTATAGAGATGAGTGCCGTGTCAACGCCACAGTTGCGGCCACCGACGCCCCCTAGAGTTTATTTACATTTAATAAAAATATTTTTTCATTTATATAATTAAATTATATATCGGGTTGTCCGGAAAATAATGCAGGATTTTAAGTTTTCATTAAAAAAAATCTATATAAAATATTCTGTTTACGTTTACAGGATTACTCATTTGTTCCAAATGATATTGTTTGTTTACCTCTGTAGCATTCCGCTACTTGGAAATAATTCAGTCATCCTTATAATGTCAAAGCGAGAATTTCGTACGATTTTCTTTTACGAGTTTAAACTCGGCCGAAGCGGAGCCCAAACGGCTAGAAACATTAACCAAGTCTGGGGCGAGGGTTGTGTTAATGAGTGCACTGTGCAAAGGTGGTTTAAAAAATTTCGGGAGGGAGATTTCAGCCTTGAAGATGAAGAAGGTCGTGGAAGGCCTTCCTCTCTTAATGATGATGTTCTGCGATCAGTGGTGGAAGAAAACCCCAAAACAACTGTTCGAGAACTTGCAGAGCAACTCAAAGTCAGTAAAACGACCGTCGCTGACCACCTCAAGGCGATTGGAAAAGTGAAAAAACTCGAAAATTGGGTTCCACACTCATTAAACGATCGCCAAAAAAATCAGCGCTTTGATGTTTGTGCATCACTTCTTTGTCGAAACAAAAATGACCCATTTCTGGCCAGAATTGTTACATGTGACGAAAAGTGGATTCTCTACGATAACACTAGACGTTCTGGACAGTGGCTCGACAAAGGAGAAGCTCCAATACATTTTCCAAAGCCCCCAACTCATCAAAAAAAGGTAATGGTTACGGTATGGTGGGCTTCATTTGGTTTAATACACTACAGCTTCTTAAATCCTGGCGAAACCATCAATGCTGAATCATACTGTAACCAAATTAATACCATGCATCAGAAATTGGCAGTAATGAAGCCCTCTTTGGTCAATCGGAAAGGGCCCATTTTGTTGCATGACAACGCTCGACCACATGTGTCACGTGTAACGTCACAAAAATTATTGGAGCTTGGCTATGAAACTTTGCCTCACCCACCCTACTCTCCGGACCTCTCGCCTACTGACTACCATTTTTTTAGACACCTGGACCACTACTTACAACACATAATATTCAAAAATCAAACGGAACTGGAAAATGCATTTATTGACTTTATCAATTCTAAAAATTCTGAATTCTACTCAGACGGAATTAATAAGTTACCAACACGTTGGGAGAAATGTATTGAGAGTATGGGAAATTATTTTGATTAAAGAACATTGCTTTAAAGTAACTAGTTTCTTTTTTTTTGTTTAATACCAAAATCCTGCATTATTTTCCGGACAACCCAATATTTTATACTAATTGAGTATAATTAATGTTAATAAACAAGTACTTCTCTAAATTGTCTTCCGTAAAACAGTGCCTACGGTCACTTAAAATTTGTGAGAATATTGAATACTGAAATAAGACCTAAGAAGGGGTTTTATTTCTTTTGTCGGTATTTCTACATTCTTCTCTTCCCTGTTTCAGTTTTCTTCGGATTAAACCAACTTTTCGTTTTACAGATTTTTTTTATGCTTCCCCCGAAAACCAATATAATATTTTACTAATTTTGCGCGATAAATGCGACTTTACGTAAAAATCCTTCAAATAGGCGATATTCATCAAATATGCAAAAATATGCTCTATAAAATTTAACCTACAGATTCGGATAGATAATTAGATCCGTCGTATGTGGTGGCAAACAACATGTGCAACTGCATAGAAGAAATCTAGTCTCTAGTTTTGAGAATATAGATTTTTTGCCTTTTCATAAATGAGCAGCCACATAGAAAGACAATATCGAAAAATCAGACAAGCACATCGAAGATAAGCCAAAACGAGTAAATTAAAAATATAAAATATAGTAAATTTCTGTGTATTGCTAATTTATCTTGTACTTGTATTTCTTGTCATCCTCGTAGCCTATTTTAGCTGGTTTTGTATGTCAGTCGTTTTTCAGCCTTCTTCAGAAGTCGGTCTGTATATTTATCTCCTTTCGATACGTGAATACATTTCTAAATTTACAAAAAGAGTACATCGGTATTTTATTTTTGTAACAAGCTTGTTTATTGTGTAGCTAGTTTTTTAAAATGTATTTTTATGTTTCTATTGATGCGTAGAGATGTCGATTTTTCTGTCCGTAAATTGTCTTTAAAAGTAATAATAATTCAGGAAACTAGAAAATAGGTTTGTCCGTTGAAGTTATGACCAGTTTATGTCCAACAATTGTATATCTTTTTTCTGCCATGTTCTCCTATTCAATCATAACACCTCAAAATTGTGTAAACAACATTAGACCAAATTGGTCCTTTTATTTTGGTTTGACCAATTAGCATATTTTGTTTTGTTTTTGCTTGCGTAGATTCACCTACTTCACAAACACCTCATAGGTACAGTTGTAGACCAAATCTTTCTTTATTATCTGTATTAATATTTTTTTAAAGGTACATAAGAGCGAGAGGCTGTCAGTTGAGGTTATGACCAATTAGTTTCTTTCCAAATGATATCATCGTGATTTTTTTTTCTGAGTTCACCGAACATTTAACCGTCTCATATCGTAAGTAATAAGTCTATCAGTTGTTATGAGTTATAACCAATCGGTTTCTCTACAAATACATATGTTAATTGAGGACTTTTTTCCTAGATTCATCTATACTGTCAAAACACCTCAAATGTACAGTCATAAACGAAATATATTTTCTTCTAAGTAATAATTTTTTTAATCTAGGTTCACCAATACGGTAACCCACCCTATATGTTCAGTTTTAAATCAAATTGCTATATTTTTTTGTTAAAAAAGTCATGAGAATTTCAACCTGTCGGTTGGCGTTTTGCTCAGTTAGTTACAGTTAGTCCAAATATTATAATTTTAGATCTTTTTTCACGTTATTCAGGTTTTCTTCAGGCTTTTCAAGTTCACCAATACGGTGAATCCAGTTTATATGTAGTTTTAAATCAAATTGTTAAATGATATAATTGTAATATTTTTTCTTCTTGGTTCACCGAACATTTAAAACGTCTCATATCTACAGTTATAAAACAAATTGTTATATTTTCTTTGTTAGAAATAATTTTTAAACTAAGAAATAAGAAAGTAAGTAATGTATTTCAGTTATTGTTATGAGTTATGACCAATGAGTTTCTCTACAAAATACATGTTAATTGAGGACTTGTTTCCCAGGTTCAAACCCATACTGTCAAACCACCTCAAATGTACAGTTATAAACGAATTATATTTTCTTTTTAATAATAATTTTTTTAAGAGAGAAATTATGCTAGGTTCACCAATACGATAACCCACTTATATGTACGTTTTAAATTAAATTGTTTTGGTTTTTGTTAATAATAATTACAATTAATTAAGGTTTTTAGTTGAGATAAAAAAGTCAATGGCACGAGCGGGATTCGAACCCACGATCTTCGGCTAGATACGCCGCTGCTCTACCACTTGAGCTATCGTCACCTCGATCCACTCGGACACTAACTTCCCATCTCAACCCTACCTTTTGAATTTTCCCTCTTTTTTGCCATTTTTCAAATGTCGCGTAATCGGATTAGATTCTCGGCGACAAATGAAATGGCCGCGGAGAGCTTTAGTGAAGTATACTTCAATTTTTAATCATTAAATTCACTAATTTCGTGGTCCGCTTGACCAATTAATATATTACAATTAATTAAGGTTTTTAGTTGGGATAAAAAAGTCAATGGCACGAGCGGGAGGTCACGATAGCTCAAGTGGTAGAGCAGCGGCGTATCTAGCCGAAGATGGTGGGTTCGAATCCCGCTCGCGCCATTGACTTTTTTTATCTCAACTAAAAACCTTAATTAATTGTAATATATTAATTAGTTAAACGGACCACGAAATTAGTGAAGTTAATAATATTTTTTTAAAGGAAGTCGTGAGAATTTTAACCAGTCATTTGAAGTTATGCTCAGTTAGCCTCTCTAAATATTATAATTTTAGATCTTTTTTCTCCTAGGTTAGTCCAAAAGTTGCATCACCTCTTATGTACAATTTTAAACCAAATTGGTATTTATTTTGTTAATAAATTTTGTAACATATAAATAAGAAGGTGATATTGTCAGTTAAGTTTATGAATTTAGGGCCATTCGGGTTTTCTCCAAATACTGTAGTTGTCGATGTTTTTTCTCCTAGGATCACGTATACAGTCAAATCACATTGTACAATTTTAAACCAAATTGGTCCTTATTTATTTATCAATAAGTTTGTAAAAGATAAATAAGAACGCGATACTG